TCAAAAAATATGACATAAAGCAAATCATTCAAGAGATTTTTTGACACTTTTATTCAATGCATTTAGAGTTATTAATTCCCTATATAGGTCAAAAAAGTGACCCAAGAGCACAAATAGGACTACATGTTTTTTATTCCTTCTAGTAGAACTATTTTATGTGTAATTAGACAAATATACCCTTGAGACTTTTGAAATGTGTTAATTGATAAAAATTCATAACAAAATAATAAAAATCGTAAAAAAATAATAAAAAAAACGTCAAAAATTATTAACTTTTTTTAAAAAAATATTATTAATAAAAAAATTAAAAATGCAAAAAAAAAAACACGCCGCCGCCTCTGCCAGCCCCAGCAGCACCACCTCCCATCACCGGTTGGAAATCTGCCAAAATTTGTATTAATGCCATAATAATGGCAGATTCAATAATAATTTTGGCATTATGATGAGTAATAATTCCATTTTCTTGGCATTTTCAGAAAATAATGGCATTTTATACAAATAAGGGCAGAATTTGCACCAATCGGATTTATCCATTTTTTAAAATTTTTAATGGATTTTTACTATTTTTTTTATTAATTTGTTAAAAAAACAAAAAAAAATCTGCTAACAATTCTAGTAATGTCACAATAACGGCAAATTCAATGATATTTTGACATTATGAAGAGTAATTATGCCATTTTCTTGGCATTTTCGGGAAAAAATGGAATTTTTTTAATAAAAAGTGGCAGAATTTTTACCAATCGAAGTTTTGATGATATCAAAACTTCTAACATCTTTTCAATCACGTACTAGAAAACTAAATCAGTCAGAGGTACAAATGTAGTAATATTCACAATTTTTTCCAAATGAATCATGCAAAAAATATAAATGCAATATACTATTATTATCGTCAAACTTCTTTTCATACAGGTAGAGTACAAAACATAACAAATGCAAATATATCATATTAGCTAACATTGTCATAATGGATGTGGGAAATGTGTAAAGAAGTTAAAATGATACATGCTAAACGTGTATTTTTCATGTCTAAATTATATATTTATATTCAGGATGAAGAGTGAAGATAAATACTATATACACACACAACAACAACAACAACATCCAAGCCTTAGTCCCAAAAGATATTGGGGTCAGATAACATGAATCGATACATGATATAACCACCAAAAGGAAAAGAAAGAAAATAAAGATAAAAATATAAGCTACTATGAAAAAGATAATATAAAAAGAGATGAATATACCTAAAAATGGTAAAATAAAAAGGATAAAAATAATGTTTATATATATAAGGATAAAAGGGTAAAAAAACAAGGAAAAAATGAGCGGAAAATATAATTCGAGATCACTCCTCCACACGAATACCCGCCATCCACTTTGCTCTCTCCAAAACCATACCCTCATCTAACCCAAGAAGAAGCATATCACTTCGGACTCCCCTAACCCACGTCTGTTTGGGTCTTCCTCTCCCTCTCTTCTTTGCCTCTTCTCCACACATCTCAACTCGTTTGACAGGTGCATCATTCGTTCTTCTACGCACATGACCAAACCACCGTAGGCGCGACTCCCGCATCTTGTCTTCAATAGGTGCTACTCCCACCTTTTATCTGATTGTCTCATTCCTCACATGGTCCTTCCTAGTATGCCCATACATCCAACGCAGCATGTGCATCTCCGCCACAGTCATCTTTTGAATATGACATTGTTTCACCGCCCAACACTCTACGCCATACAGTAATGCAGGTCTAATTGCTGACCTATAAAATTTACCCTTCAGTCTAGTCGGCATGCCTCTATCGCATAGAAATCGTGACGCACTCTTCCACTTCATCCACCATGTTCTGATTTTATGGGATACATCTCCATCTAACTCACCGTCCTTCTAAATTATGGAGCCCAAGTAACAGAACATATCGCTGACCAATATCTCCTTACCATCTAAAGTAATTCCGCTATTACCACTTCTTCTACCTCCACCAAACTTGCACTCCATGTACTCTGTCTTGCTCCGACTTAGCCTGAAACCCTTGTTCTCTAATGTTTCTCGCCATACTTCCGACTTTGCTTTAAGACCTGATTGCGTCTCATCAATTAATACAATGTCGTCGGCAAACATCATGCACCACAGTATTTCATCTTGAATTGACTTCGTAAGGTCATCCATGACTATGGCAAATAAGAAAGGGCTCAGAGCCGATCCTTGGTGCACTCCGATAGTAATAGGGAACTCCGCAGTCCTCCCTACACTAGTACGGAAACTTGTAGTACAATCCTCATACTTATTCATGATGATGCTAATATACTTGTGCGATATGCCTTTTCTAGTTAAGGCCCACCAAAGAACTTCTCGAGGTACCCTATCATAAGCCTTTTCTAAGTCAATGAACACCAAATGAAGATCCTTGTGAGTGTCTCTATACTTCTCCATAAGTTGCCGAAGATGTTGAATGACCTCAGTTGTTGAGCGACCAACAGGCATAAAACCGAATTGATTCTCTAAAATCTTCATAGTTCTTCGAAGTCTTTGCTCAATCACTCGCTCCCTAAGTTTCATGGTCTGACTCATAAGCTTAATCACTCGATAGTTGGCACATTCTTGTACATCACCATTATTCTTGAATAAGGGGATAAAAGTACTCTTCCTCCAACTCATTGTCAACTTATTGTTTCTCCAAATCATGTTGGAGAAGCTTGTTAACCACTCGACACCTCTCTCTCCCAAACTTCTCCAATCCTCGATCGGTATGCCATCTGGACCCACTGTTTTCTTCCGCCTCATCTTCCTCAGAGCCTCTCTAACTTTCATTGTTTGGATCCTTCTCACAAAATCACGATTTACGATACAATTTGGTATGGTCAAATCATCGATATCTTGCGTTTTGTCCCCGTTGAATAGAGTATCAAAAATGACCACCACCTCTCTTTTATCAAAATCCCTTTGATCGAAATCCTTCACACACTTAGGGCCTGTTTACTAACAGAGATATTTTCCAGTTTTCCAGAAAACTGGAAAACTGGAAAACAGAAAACAGGAAACGTGTTTACCAAAGAAATTCCTGGAAAACTGGAGAAAGGAAAAAAGAAAAACGCGTTTACCAAATCGTTTTCCAAAACGGAAAAAATGAGACATGTCTCTCTTTTCCTTAATGATTTGGAGAAGTGACTTTTACTAGTTTTCCAAATTTAGAAAACGCAGATGCTACAGTGCCGCTGCAATGAATTTGCATACTTACACCTAGTGGTGGGTCCGGTCCCGCTCCGATGTCGATTCCATTCCGGTACCTCCATCATCGTACCTTACCCCTACCCTACCCTATCTTACCCACCCAACCCCACCCCACATACCCATTTTCCCTATAATGACCCTACCCCACCCCGGCCCCACCCTGATCCACCCTACCCTACCGCCACCCCCCTACCACCTCGACCCCACCTTGACCCATCCTACCCTACCCCCACCCGTATATTACCCCTTACCCCTTACCACATGCCCCTACCTCGACCCCACCCCACCGACATCCTATCCCCACCCTCGTACCGCCATCCTACCACCATCCTACCCCCCCACCCTAATCCACCCTACCCTACCACCTCGACCCCACCCCCGACCCACCCGTATATTACCCCTTACCCCTTACCACATGCCCCTACCTCGGCCCCACCCCAATCCACCCTACCCTACCACCTCGACCCCACCCCGACCCACCCCGTATATTACCCCTTACCCCTTACCACATGCCCCTACCTCGGCCCCACCCCACCGCCATCCTACCCCCACCCTTCCGCCATCCTACCCCCCACCCTACCCTTCCCCTACCTCAGCCCCACCCAGATCCCGGGCCCACCCTATCGCCATCCTATCCCACTACCTCTACCTTACCCCAACCCTAACCACTACCCCCACCCCCACCCCTTCCCTACCTCAGCCCCACCCTGGTCCTGGCCCCACCCTACCGCCATCCTATCCCAACTCCATACCCTACCTCTACCTTACCCCAAACCCTACCCACTACCCCACCCTTACCCCTAACCACGACCCTAACCCACCCACTACCCCTAGACCTTACCACCCCACCCCGACCATACCCCTTACCACACCCCCACCCATAACTTCCCGACCCCTACGAGTAGGTATGGGTGGGTATGAAGGGTTGTGGGGGAGTATGGGTAGAGTGTAAGATCGTGGTAAGGGTAGGGGTCAAGGGTAGAGGTCAAGGGTGTGGAATTGGAGAACTGGGTGAAAAAAATTGATAAACATGTTTTCAGATTTGAAAATGGAAAACTAAAAAATAGAAACAGAAAATTGGAGATAGAAAAACAGAAAATTGGAGAAAGAAAAACAGAAGTAGAAAACAGGAAAATATCTCTGTTAGTAAACAGACCCTTAACTTTTCCGATATCTTGAGTCCCACGGTCACGAAGACGAGCAAGTCTGTATTACAAGTAGTTTGATGTGCGGTTTGGTTTATGGTTTTTCGGTTTTAAACCAAACCAAACCATTCGATTTGGACAAATCCTTACCAAACGGTTTACTTAAATAAAATCAAACCAAACCACCAATTTTCGGTTCAATTCTTCGGTTAAAGCAACCCATTATGGAGAGCCCTACTTAAAACGTAAAAAGACTAAAGGGTCAAATAGGTACATGAACTAACTTAAAGTGTTCAATTAGCTCCTTATATCGGAGGTTCAGCCCGGTCGTCGCCAATTGGGGTGGTTACCGGTAGAATTTTTTGATGAAATTGTTTGAGCATCTTTTTCATTAAGTCTAGTTTACCTATACCAAATTTCAGCTAAAAATTCAACCGGAAAGGCAGTCAAATGAGTTTTTGAAGATAACTGCGCAGTTAAAAATCCTTATGCAAAAGAATAAATATGAGCAAAACGCCCAAAAGGGGTCGAGGCCTCGAGGGAATAACTACTGAACTACATTCAGTAGTACGGAGTAACAAACACGTCTTTAAAGTGACGTCTGTGAGAAGAAAATTTCATAACAAACCGCAATCCTCTGCGACATTTGCATAGCAAGAAAGGGCCGAAACCTTTGGACCGTGAAGAGAGAGAGAGAGAGAGGGGCAAATGCTGAGATCGAGTGGCGGAAAATCAATAATCGGGTCGAGAGTTTAGGAGAGAAAATAGAAAAAAAGAGGGCAGAGAAGAGGCAGGCAAGCAGCACTAAAGTAGTATATGGGGGGTGGGAATACATTCGTGGATGGTGTTCGTCGCTGGTTCCAACGCCGTCCATCTGCTTCTTCTAGCGCAAATGCGGCTTCGGCTCTGACCCATTCTAAAAATCCCAATACCCATCCTCCCAATCACCATTATTCCCATAACCGTGAAGGCGAAGGAGAAGAACAGCTTAGAGTAGTAGATGACTTCGATATTTCTGGGTTGAGTGCGATCAAGGTCCCCAAGCGTGTCAATTTCCCACTTTCCCCCATGGATCATCTCAGAAAGGTCTCCATTGTCCTCTGTTCTCCACTTTGTCTTTCTAGTGTTTCTTGAATCTGCCCGTGCTTTTATTGATTATTGTCTGTAATTCCAAGATGGGGACCAATTTCCAATCTTGATGCACTTTGTCGTACATTTGTTTCTTATTTGGAAGCAAATGATCTATCTCCATTAAATGCACTCCATCCAATCGGATGAGGTCGTTCAGGAAAAATCTGGATTTAGAATTGAAATTTTATTTCTTTGTTATTCCTCACCGTCCTTTTGTTTGATGGAGCAACCAATAATGGAACTTTGGCATATTGTTATTTAAACGACCTAGGAAGACTGCGGTTTCTGGACCAGCTCAAGTACAAATCTCTGATATAAGTCATCATATACCCTACCTGCCTAAATTGTAATAGTTGCAGATATTACAATTTGTTTCCTAATAAGTTTTCGTTTCACTATTCTAATGCCTCGATATTACCCTTTTCCAATTTTAACCGTATATACTCAATGTCTCAAACTCTCAATTAATGTGGTGCAAATTCATTTTTTTACACTCAGTAATTATTTACTGAAGACTTAGATGATTACTTTCTATAAAGTCTATTTGTCTTTTGTTCACAAGTTTTAGCAATTCTTTAATGTCTGAAACACTTTAAGTTGACATCCTATTCAGATCAGAGGGATTATATGTTATGATTGAAATGCATTTGATTTTAGATAGCTTATTCCCCCTCATCCCCCATGAAAAAGAGAAAACTTAACTAATTGTATAATCTGCTCTGTATATAAATGTACCAAAAGTAATCCTTTCTGTTTCTAATGAGGGTGCGGTATGCAGAATAACCTAGAGAGTGAATTCTTTACGGAATATGGAGAGGCAAACAGGTATCAAGTTCAAGAAATTATTGGAAAAGGTAGCTATGGAGTTGTTGGGTCTGCAGTCGATACTCAAACTGGAGAAAGAGTTGCAATCAAGAAGATCAATGATGTGTTCGAACATGTTTCTGATGCCACAAGAATTCTGAGAGAGATTAAGCTTCTCCGGCTATTAAAGCATCCAGATATTGTAGAAATAAAGCATATTATGCTCCCTCCATCACGGAGAGAATTTAGAGATATTTTTGTTGTTTTCGAATTGATGGAGTCCGACCTTCATCAGGTAATTAAGGCCAATGATGATCTCACAGCTGAACACTATCAGTTCTTTCTATACCAGCTTCTACGTGGACTGAAGTATATTCATACTGGTTAGTTTTTTTCACAACCTTATTTATGAGGCCCTTCTCATTTATAATTAGTGGTGGCTATTTACTTCATTTGCAGCAAATGTTTTCCATCGGGATTTAAAGCCAAAAAACATCCTTGCAAATGCTGACTGCAAGTTAAAGATTTGCGATTTTGGACTTGCTCGCGTATCATTTAATGAGGCACCGTCAGCTATTTTTTGGACTGTATGTTTAAACTTTGAACTATTCTTGGACTCCTCCTAAACTGTTTTAATTTTGAATTTTGATTAGTATATTCTCACTTTCTTAGACTGCTCTTAATTAATTTGTGTAATGCATTGAAGGACTATGTTGCAACACGATGGTATCGTGCTCCTGAACTATGTGGTTCCTTTTTCTCCAAGGTAAATGAAATACTATAGTGCGATTTGCATGTTCTTATTGCCCATATTTCATTCATATACCTGAATTCAACACCCTTAACTTATGTTTGAATGCAAACAAACAATATTTCATTCTCATTCCTTCGTTCTCCAATTTCTTAGATTGGCTTCTTTTCACCTAATCGATTCCTTCAGAATTCCCGATTCTTTGTTGCAAGGAACTGATCAACATGTTTTCAAGAGGACTGAAATGTTTATAGTTCTCAATAACTTATATAGATGCAAGTGATGCTAAAAGTATAATATAGTCCAGCAAGTACAGAGCAAGTAAATGTATTGCCTATCAGCCTATCTAATATGAAATTAATTGCCTCTCTCTTTAATGAAGAGTATGAAGAATTGATGTTAGTGTGTAAATGTATAATGAATTGATGTTAGTGTGTAAAAGTATAAAGAATTGATGTTAGTGTGTAAATATTAGTGTGTAAACTGTAAAAGTATAAAAAATTGATGTTAGTGTGTAGAAGTATTATTCATAGCTGATTATGTGAACATGATACACACCTTTTAATCTCTTTGTGGCCTCTTCCTAACGCAGAATGCACAATGTGCAAATGTTTTCATTTGCAGTACACTCCTGCTATTGATATTTGGAGCATCGGTTGCATATTTGCTGAGATGCTTACCGGAAAACCATTATTTCCAGGAAAAAATGTTGTGCATCAATTAGACCTGATGACAGATTTACTTGGAACTCCTCCTCCTGAAACTGTTGCAAGGGTAAGCCTTCTCAGTCTAGAAACTTCCTTTTCTTGCTAGTCTATCCTTTCAATAAATATTGCCATTGGCATTGCCATGGCGCTTGTAAAAGTTCACATCTATATATTGTGCCAAAAAAGATGCCTGTTGTCATTTAGCGTAAAAGCTTTTAAGACCAAAGTTATATGTATATGTGTGTGTGTGTGTATATATATATATATATATATACATATATATGTATATATCATATATATATATATATATATATATATATATATACACACACACACATATACATATAACTTTGGTCTTAAAAGCTTTTACGCTAAATGACAACAGGCATCTTTTTGTATACATATAACTTTGGTCTTAAATCCATATATGTATATGTATATATATATATATATATATATATATATATATATATATATATACACATATACATATATATATATATACATATACATATACATATATATATATATATATATATATATATATATATATATATATATATATATCATATTATCATTTACCTCAGTGCCGCAAAGGCTCCCACCTACGGTGGGGTAAGGGGGGGTCAGATGTACGCAGTCTTACCCCTGTACTAAAGCATAAAGAGACTGTTTCCGGATGACCCATAGTGAAAATTGCGTCCAAAATTGCATGGACTGACTGCTGCTTCATAATAAAAAAGCGCATACAGTTTAGTGAGTCATTTTGCTTTATTCCATCATATTCTCAGGCCAAAAAATAAAAACCAGCAAATTTTTCTTAACATTTTGGAAGTTTCATAGGTTGCTATGTCTATGAGAATTTCATGTTCTATTGGCAGATTAGAAATGAAAAGGCAAGAAGATACCTCAGTAATATGCGCAAGAAGCAACCTATTCCATTTGCACAAAAATTTCCGCATGCCCATCCTTTAGCTGTACGCCTTCTTGAAAAGCTTCTTGCATTTGACCCAAAAGACCGACCAAGTGCTGAAGAGGTAGTGTTAAAATCTGACAGCGTTTTATGATTAAAATCTGACTTTGATATCTTGTTCATCCTGAATTATTTCATCTTTTTGGTTTCATTTGCTTACAGGCATTGTCAGATCCATACTTTGAAGGTTTAGCTAATGTGGAGCGTGAACCATCTACTCAACCAATATCAAAGCTTGAATTCGAGTTTGAGAGGAGGAAAGTTACTAAAGATGATGTTAGGGAACTTATTTATCGGGAGGTATGGCTTTTCAGAACCTACTTACTGGCCACTGCCTTAACAATAAGATTTTGATTAAACTGTTAAGCTAATTTCTCTATAAAAATTGTAACAGATTCTGGAATATCACCCACAGATGCTTCAAGAGTATCTAGAAGGGGGAGGAGAACAGACTAGTGGGTTTATGTACCCAAGGTTTGCTACTAGCCATTCCATTTGTTTCTATTTATCCGTTTCACACAGTTTAACAAAAGGTATTGGAGACTTGGAGTGATAAATTAATTAAAACTTTTGATACATCACCTAAAATGTCCCCATCAAAATCTACCGACCCTTTCTTTCCTCTGAGATAAAAGGGTAAATAGAGAAAAAATTATTACCCTCATCAATTTCATAAATAGACAAAAGAGTAACAACTAACAAGATATATTGTTCAATGTAGACACATGTTCTCAAGCCAAGGGTGTGTTTCTGCCTTATTTACATTTACTGGATTTCTTTCTTTTTGATGTGTGATCATCTTTATCATAACTGAAAGATCATAGTAGTTGCAAGTTTGCAATGTGCAGTTAAAAAGCCTTTTTGTCATATAGCAGTATAGCACAACTGAATTATTCTATTTCTAGTGTGAAACAAGCAGTGGCTTGCTGTTCCCATATACATTCATACTTGTGTGTGGTTTTATATATGCCTTTTCAAGTGACTATTTAAATGTCAAAACCTTATGGTTGCCTCAACTTGGTCATGGTATTTTATTTTTTGAATTGAAGAAGTATACACATTTATGGGTAGTGTTTTCTTCAACCAGTGGTGTTGACCGGTTCAAGCGACAATTTGCGCATCTTGAGGAGCACTATGGTAAAGGTGAAAGAAGTACTCCACTTCAAAGGCAGCATGTGTCCTTGCCAAGGTGTGTTAAAGCCTTCTGTTTGCTTCAAATCGTGTCTCTTCTGCTATAAACTGTTTGATGTTTACTATATATCCTTATATATCCAATTAAGTTATAATATTTTCATTTTTCATTCTATTAGTGGATGCAAGGCATTGTGAAGATATGATACAAGAATTAAAAAAATTGAACTAGATATGGCTTTTTATTTCGGATAAGATGAGAGAATAATCATGTACTAAGTATAACCTTTTAAATTTTAATACTCCGTATAAAATAGTTTAGTTGATGCAATACATGTGAAGATATAAGATAAAAGAATAAGTAATCTCGTACTAATCTTTTGGCCTATAAATTGCATGAGATTATCATGTGATGCTTAATCGTGACATTAATCATTAGATAATTGGAAAAAGTATATTCTAAATGTGCTGCCTAATCATGACATCTCAGAGAGCGGGTGCCTGCACTAAAAGGTGCTCATGATAATGATATTGAAAAGCGAACATCTGTTGCTTCAACCGCCCTTCAAAGTCGACCTGAAGGATCAGATAATACACATGACGATGGATCAAACTTTAGCGCTCGTGGCCTGCTAAAGAGTAATAGTATTAGTGCTTCAAAATGCATAGAAGTTAAAAGACGAGATTCAGAGGTATACATTTTAGACATTTCATGTCTCTACTTTTAAAAAAGGAAGAGTTAATGCTACTTCCCTACCCATTTACTCCATATTAGATTTTGACAATTTTCTTTACTCTCCAGTCTCTCCTATATCATCATCATCATCATCATCATCATCATCATCATCAGTTATCGCTTTATTTCAGTAAAGCACCAGTAATTTGCACAAGACCTTTATTTGCTATTGCTTACTGTTCATTTGATGTTACTCTAAGTAGACAATAAAATCTGGGACGCGCCCAAGTACTGAAATGTTTTTTGTTGTTTTTCCTATTTTATAAATAAGACTCATTCATGCTCCGAAAAGAACAATTTTTAACTACGTTGATTGCTTTATACTTCGGACAAAAGAAGGATACTCTGTGGTGCATATGCTCAATGTTTTAACCCTATTTGCCGAATTGCCGTAATTTCTTTTTAATTTTCAGCCTTCCAGCTGCATCACTTCTTGTTTTTACACTGTTTCCACAGGAAGAGCCTGTTGAAGAGCAGGATGAGGATGTCAATGACTTGTCTAAAAAGGTGGCAAATCTCCACGCACCCTAATTTCATCATGTTCGAAGTTAAAACATATTACTCATCAGATTAGAAAGCTTGATATCCTTCTGCCATCCTCCCCTGCTTTATATGGACATGCAATTATTCATAGCATTGAAGTTTTGGTTGGAGGCTAACCTTAGTGGACACTGCTGTCATTCTTTATTTGTTATTGTCATAGAGAAAAACTCCTCAGTTATTGGGAGGCTGGAGAGTGTGCTATGTCTCATTGTCCTATGTTGTATTAGCACTGTCACATTGATTATAATTTGTCGTAATGGGCTTAAATTATACTGGTATCAAATATTTAAATGGACAAATGGGTAAAACGTTGGTGGGTTTTACTCGATTACTCACCTTTCATGTACTCTTTTGTTTATCAAATAAAGAAATGCTGAAATGAGATATTTTAAGGATCAGACTGAAAAGGAAAGTGAGATGTTTATTTAGGGGTGGAGGAAGTAATAATATTTTTAATAATATTTTTGACGGTGCTAAGTTTCAAGTTTCAACTAAAGGTATGCATGTTTTCAAGTCCATGAAATCTCAAACAAATGACTTGATCACCTTATCGCACCATAATTGAACATGAAAGCTCAAAAACAAAGGAGAACGTATATTTAGATTACCAAATTAGGAAGAACAAAAGTTGGGTTACCAAATTGGTAAAGAACTTCGGAAACAAATTATAAAAAACAAAGTATTATTATGAAAACCAACATATTTACCAGTATTTAAAAAAATTCTACTGCATAAAAATCATTATGAATATATTTACTATTTTATCACTATGAACATTTTTTCTTTTTTCTTTTTTTTCTTTTTTTTGCGAAGAGGACATTTTATTGATATAAAATAAAAGTACAATGTGAAAAAGAAAGAAAAAATACATGAAAGAAAAGAGAAAAGTGCTAAATTACAGGAAAAACAACACAAAAGGGGAAAAGAGCTAATCCCATGGAAAATCTCTGGATTGAGACCTAGTTGTCATGCTGTGACGCCTTTTGTTCTTTTGAGATTTCATTTAGATTTTTAGCTGTGTGTTCAAGTTCTCGGTCGGCAGGCAATTTTCTACGGTTAAGAAATTAGCCTTATGGCAAATCGCGGTATTGAATTTGGATTTTCTAATTTCTTCTGGGAATGAAATGGGAGGACGACGATCACTCTCGGTTGCATGTCCCAAGAAGTCATCTATAAAGAGTTAGTCATCTGAGTGATCAAAATCATCTGAGGCGTCTGAGTAAGCCTGAATCAATGAGAACTTGGGTTGTTTCCCAGAAGAGAAGACGTGGTTATCCTCAGTATTTGCCGCCTGAATTTGAGAATTAAAAATAAGTTTAGATATGGATGTGGGGTCCTCGATTTCTAATGTACTCCCATGTTGGATAGATATTGAGTCGTCCTGCACTGACTTTGAGAGCCCTACAAAATTACAAAAAATATTAAGGAATTTAGATATGCCCGAGTTATGGGTTCTCATGGGTATCTGAATGAAGCTCCCTTTGTATTTCGCCGTTTTTACATAGTAGCCCGCTCTGTAAATTTCTACGGAAATCGTGATATCTCCAAATCGCTTTTCACGAAGTCGACCAAAAAGGGAAAATCGACCTTCAGAGGTTGACCTACGGGGAGGCATCGGCCAGCAGGGGTGCATCGACCAATAGGAAGTCGACATGCGGGGAGCTTATATCGACCAAGGGGAAGTTGATCAAGGGGTTGGGGGCTAGCGTCAGCCTTTGGGAAGTCGACCTATTAGCATTCTGTTATCCATCTCAGTTGTATTAATATGTTAATCCAACGGGTATACTCAATTAACACTAAAAAATCGAGTTTGTGTACTTAAAAAGATCAAATGCAATATAATACTCTTTACTCTACATCGTACAAGTTGATGTACTCAATTGACTTTTATCTCAATTTTGACATCTGAATTTATGCTTCTAGCCTTGGTTTTTTTGTTATTGTTACTTAGGGTGGACTCAGTCCGACCGGTCTCTAGAAAATATAAAGGTCACCCGATATCAGCCCGAACTGCCAGTTCTGAACCTGTCGGGTAGACCGGCTGGTCCTGGACTCGATTCTGGACAATGTTTTAAAAATATTAATCCGTATTATAGTATTATAGTAATTTAATGTAAATAAAAAAATATATAGATTCAAAATTAAATGTATGTATACATACAATAATTTAATTGACTTCTACAGTTCTACATTGAAAAAAGTTAATTAAGATTTGAAAAGAAAATACAAAATACCCGGTCGAGTATGGTAGGAGATCTCCTTGACGAGGCACAACCTCTGACTTTATTCTTTTAATTCCTCAGACAATTTAGAAAACCTGAGTTGCTGTTTATCATCTTCCTCCAGCTACTTCGGACGGTATTAGACGTCGGACCCCTGAAGTGATAACAGATTCAAAACACAGGGCCTGTTTTGAAAAAAAAATGAACATATACCCTTACTTGAAAACGGAAACACATACCCTCATTTGAAAACATTCTTTTTTATATTTACCCTTAAAATTAGGGTCTGTTTGCAATCCATTAAAAAAGTGCTTTTAATTTTTTTTAAGAAAAAAGTACTTATTTTACCAAACACTACCAACTTTTACTTTCTCGGCTTCCGTGAAGAATCTACTTTTTACTTTTTTTACTACACAAAAAGCACTTATTTTACCAAACACTACCAACTTTTACTACTAATCACTTTTTCCCCAAAAGTGCTTTTATTTAAGCACAAGTGGTTGCAAACAAAGTCTTAATTATGACTTCGTATGTAAAGAAGCAATTATCATGCAATTTTCCAGTTTGGACCATCTTCGGAGACAATCAGAGTCGGTACAGGCCTTAAGATATTACATAGTATTGTTATTAGGGAAAAAGTACAAATATACCCTTCTAGTATGAGTGTTGGAACAAATATACCCATGTTCTATTTTTTGGAACAAATATACCCCTGAAGTTTATGTGGAAGTGCATATATACCCCTGAACTTTTAAAAAGTGCAAAAATGCCCCTCATGTTCCTATAAAGGAGCAAATTTACCCTTATTGACTTTAAATATATAATATAAATTTCTAAAAACACAAAAAATAAATTATAAATTTGAAATTTAAAAATAAAATAAAAATAAAAAACTACTTGTGTCCAATTCTCCATTTTATTAATTTTAGATCACCATTTAATATTGTTAGTATAAAATTTACTCTATATTAAAGATTCTTTCGGAAAAGTGTTAACATATGTGTTGCATTGTAAAAAATATATTAATTTCTCGTATTCTTTGCACTATAAAATCTCATTTTTTGTATGATGATAAATAGTCCAAGATTACAAAATAGTAATTTTTTTATTAAGGTTAAATAAAATCAAAGAATGTTATTTCAAAAAATGTAACAATGTTCAAAATTTTGCAACAAGTCTAAAATTAATACTTATGAATTTCAAGTGCTTCATTTACAATGGAAAAATATTAATTTTGCCATTTAAAATTAAAGACTTAATATTTTAACATAAAAATAAATCTTTATTTCGAAATCTTTAATTTTTTATTTTTTAATTTAGAATGTATAATTTATTTTTAGTGTTGTAAAATTTACTTTTTATTTATTCAAAGTCAATAAAGATAAATTTGCTCCTTTATATGAACATGAGGTGTATTTTTTCACCTTTTAAGAGTTCAGGGGTATATATACACCTCCACATAAACTTCAGGGGTATATTTGTTCCGAAAAATAGAACAAGGGTATATTTGTTCTCACACTCATATTAGAAGGGTATATTTGTACCTGTTCCCTTGTTATTATCGACATTTGCAAATACCTAAAGATCTTTTATCTTTTGCAATAGAAAAAAGGAAAAATTGACAAGAATAATCCCACCTTTCACTGGTCTTCTCATAATAATCTCACCTTTATATAATCCCAAAATAATCCCACCTTTGCACCCCATCTTCTTTCATTGGACCCTGACCAAGTTTTTTAGCCTTCTTTGAAAATCTTATATAAATAATCTCACATTTATAAGGATATAATAAAAAAGTGAAAGGTGAGATTATTTATATGATTTACAAAGAAAGGGTAAAAAACCTTGTCAGGGTCCAATGAAAGAAGATTGGGTGAAAAGGTGGGATTATTTTGAGATTATGTAAAGGTGGGATTATTATGAGAAGACCACTGAAAGGTGGGATTATTCTTGTCAATTTTTCCTAAAAAAAATAGGTGCCATGAATAAACATGATTGTTCGAATATGATCGAAGGAAGTAGTAGTTGCGCGGAAATAATTGAATTTTCGAATCTATGAAGAATTGGGTGGGGACAAATTGTGATTTAGATAAATAATTTGATCAATTTGGTAGGTCGCAAGTAGCCAGTTATTACAAATTGCCGCACTCACTGGTTCAGTAATCAGTAGCAGTGCGTTTGTCAATTGCAATGGAGGGAGGGGATAAATATGGGACCGGGACAAGTTGCTCTGTTCTATTCCATATTCTTATCTTCATCAATGCAAGTACTTTTGTTTGTTTCTCATTGGAATTTTGGATGTGATTCCATCAAAGCCATCATCGAAATTCGAAAACTTATGTACAAATTCATGTCAATCAGACTTGACGTACACATTTTTGTACACACACTTACACACTATTATCTGTGAAGTGTTTTTTTTGTCTGTATGCAGACACAATGTATTTGAAGTGTCTGTGAAATATGTTGTGTCTGTATACAGAAAAAAAAACACTTCACAGACATGAGTGTGTAAGTGTGTACAAAAAATGTGTAACAATAGTTTTTATCTAGAGTTCCTATATCAAATGCAATTGGGCTTGGGGTACACACATCTTATACACACACATACACACTATAAAAGGCCCAAAAAGTTACCAATTTTTTACCCTCCCTCACGTGACTAATCGCAACTCCCCCTCTCTTCCCAGAAAAGGGGTTATGTCTAAAATAATACTAAAAAAAGAGCTATGCACAAAAAAGAGACCTTTATTTCAATTTTCCAAAAATGAGACTAACAATGGGTTAAGAGACTATTATACCCTTATTTTAATAGAATCTCACCCATTAGTCTACAATAACGCCACAGTGACCAAAACCATTATCGTGACCAAAATTCGTCACTGACCAAAAATCATTTGTGACCAAAAATCCAAAAATCCGTCAGTGACCAAAATCATTAGTGACAAAAAATTCTACCTAGTTACCAACGTCAACCCGTCCAGTGACCAATTCGACTAGTGACCATGACCAATCCACCCAGTGACCAAAAATCATTTGTGACCAAAATTCCAAAAATCCGCCAGTGACCAAAATCATTAGTGACCAAATTTTTTACCTAGTTACCAACGTCAACCCGTCCAGTGACCAATCTGACTAGTGACCATGACCAATCCACCTAGTGACCAAAAATCATTTGTGACAAAAAATCCAAAAATTCAGTACAGTTACAGTTACTTGGATTACAGTTACCCGGATTGACCAGTTATAATTACCCAGATAAACCAGTTACAATTACCCGGATCGACCAGTTACAGTTACCCGGATTAACCAGTTACAATTACCCGGATCGGTTAGTTACAGTTACTCAAACCAAGTGACCAGTGACCAACCCAACCAACGACCATGACCAATCCGAGCAGTGACCAACCCGACCAATAACCGTAATCAATCCGACCGACGATCAACCCGATCAACCACCGTGACCGACCCGACAATTACCATGACTAAATTTGACAGAGTGACCACCGCAGCCACTGCTGCTCTGAACCACCCCCAACCACTAAGTCCCTTACCATCCCCACCCACTGTCATTCCACACAACCGCCGAGACCGGCGACGGCCGCCGCTTCCCCCTCCCCGGATGTACACCCTCAGCCCCTCCCTTGCCCCATCCCCCCTCCCCTGCATCTTCCCTCTACCATGCACCAGACCCTCACTTGCACCAGCCTCCTTCCCAGCACCTTTCACAAGACCTTAATCTCTAACCCTACCCGCCGCCGCAGCAAGATCTGGATCTGGATCTCCGATGGTCACCATCTTCAACCGTCTGGAGTCTCAACTCGTCGTTTCCCGCCTCTGATAGTCGGCCATCGCGGCTGCTGCCGTGCGATGAAGAAGAATACGGATCTTCTACATTCCAGGAAAGAAACGAGGAGAAGTTGAGAGATGTGGAGTTCCTATGCGACGGTTCGGCGACGACGGCAGCACGGTTTCTCGGAGACGGCTCAGCGACGTCTCGCCGATGACGGTAGCATAGTTGCTCGGCGGCGACGTCTCAGCGACGTCTTGGAAATGACGGTAGCTCGGTTGCTCGTCGACATTGATGGCACAAATGTTGCGCGATGCAAGGCAGCGGATTAGAGAATCGCAGTGTAGCAGGTCAATAGTACCGTTGCCTACAGGTCCCTTTTTTGTCTTTCACAAAAATGGTCCTACTTGTGTCCACTCAAAACTCCCAGGTTTTATTTTTGCCATTATTTCCCCAGAAAATCCCAACTCCCACGGGCTTCTTCTTCATTATTCCACAGCAGAGGTCAACGAGAACAAAGGTCTGAGCTTAAAAAAAATGGATTTCAGCGGCTTTGTGAATGAAAATATCATTGACACTACCGTGGATGTTTTTTTTGGGTTGAATGGGCTGAAACAAGCGGTGGTTGTCGTGGTGGGAGATATTCCAGTGGCGGGTGAGGTTGAGCGAGAACCGGCGGCAGCGGCTGAACTTGACGGAGAAGCGGCGGCGACGGCCATGGACGACGTCCCTGAGCTTGGTATGACTTTGTGTTGGTGATTTTATTGGCTTTTAACTTAAATATATATTTGTTCTTCACAGGCAATTATATGTATTTGTGTAGTATATAATATCGTTTGTGTGTTTGTGAAGTGTATAAAATCTTGTCTGTTTTCAAAATGTTATAAAATAACTTATGTAGTTATGTCTGTGTGAATAAACTTCTATTTGAAATGTCTGTGTATAAACATACTTTTGTCTGTGGCTATATATACTTATGTCTGTCCGTAAATATACCACTGCCTCTGCATAAATATACTTCGATTTAGATGTCTGTGTGTGAATATATTTCTGTCTGTGTGTATATATACTTTTGTCTGTGCGTAAATATGGCTCCGCCTGTGTGTGTAAATGACTTCCCTCATTGCATGTTGACATCGACACATTTTTTATTCGTTGAAATACGTGAATGTCGATCAGATGGAGAAATTCATCAAAATGAGCGTGATGTTGATTCTATAAAAGCTCCGGATGATTGCGGATGATGATGAGAAGTACCAAAATGTTCTTCTTTGGTTGGAGACTCAATTGTCCACATATACTCCTCCCCAAGATAATCGTTCTTCCATATGTGGCAACCTAACATCTATCCCACAATCAAGTAGTCGTGTGCAAGGTGAGGTTCCAAAAATCATTGGAGATCCTAAGTGTGCAAAGCGCAATGGTGCACCAAGGAAAAACCGTCAAAAAGGACCATGAGAGAAGGGGAAGAAGAAATCAAGGGCTAGGAATGACAATGGAAGTGCCCCACAAGCTACCACTGACCATGACAATGCACAGGAGGATCGTAATGACATGATGAACTATAGTGGTTTAGATTTAAATCTTAGTTTGATGTAAATGTGCATGCATGTATGTTCACAAACATTTATGTAATGGGTGTTTTTGGGCAAATTTTTGTCTATTTTGTGTGGTCTATATTTTTGTGGTCTATTTTGTGTGGTCTTCAAAGTAATTTTTACATTACATATAGTGACATGTCACTATGGGTCATCCGGAAACAGTTTCTCTGTGCTTTAGTACAAGGGTAAGACTGCATACATCCGACCCCCCTTACCCCACCATAGGTGGGAGCCTTTGCGGCACTGGGGTAAATGAAAATGATGAAATAATATAGTGAAATGTTAGAAAGTTATTTTTAAATTACATAAAGTAGTGGAATATTAAGTTACATAAAATAAACAAGATTCTTGTTTACATTAATCTATATCTTCTACTTAGGGGTGTTTGGAACCGATTCTGCTTCTACTTCTTTTTTAAAACAGAAGCAGAATCAGAATCAGTTTTCAGAAGCTGGTACCCCTCAGCTTCTAAAAAAACTGATTCTGGGTGTAAATTAGAGCACCAGAAGTGCTTCTGAAATTTCACCCAAACACTCCAGCTTCTGTTTCTGCTCATTGAAGGAGCAGAATCAGTTTTGAAAATTAGATCCAAACACCCCTTTATTATCTTAGTGACCAATTCTTTATCAAAATAAGTAAGATTTAGTTTATTGAAATTTTGAAATTGACTATTTTAGTTGATTTAAATAATTTTATTTATTTGTTCATAAATGTTCTACTATTATAATATTCTATAGAAAGTATAATTTTTCACTTGTAATATGGAAATTTTTTTACTACATGAACTCTACTTTGATTAAATTATATTGATCACACAAAGGAGTATTACAGCACAGACACGGTTTTTCTTCTTCACAGGCAAAGCCCTGCTCTGTATATATCAACACCCAAATACAACACAAATGACAGACAAAGTGGTATTACACCATACGTAAATTTGTTCTTCTTCACAGACGCGCAATAGACAATGGATTACATATACTAGTAGCTTTTAAACAATTACGGAGTAGTTACTAAAATCAACAAGTAAAGTTTTTAAGATTAAACTAATAATCTGTAAACTTATTGATCACCTCAAAATTACACATGGGCTCAAGTGGTAATCAAAGTAATAAAAGTTTGGAAAAATTGATAGTAATAATCCCAACTATTGGCGGTCCGCTCATAATAATCTCAACTATTGATTATTACAGAATAATCCCAACTTTAGGGACCTTCCGCCAATAATGGTCCCTATGAATAAATTCTTGTAGTTTCTAAAGTGGATGAGATGAGATATAACAAGTAATCTCTATAAATAATCTCAACTTTTAATTTTTATGCTTAATTTCTATTTAAAATTCACTTTTTATAGAGGTAATATATGGTCATGGACCATTATTGGCGGATAGTCTATATAGTTGGGATTATACAAAAATAATCAATAGTTGGGATTATTTTCAGCGGACCGGCAATAGTTGGGATTATTATTTTCAATTTTTCCTAAAAGTTTTAGGTATTAAATTACATAAAGTAGTTATTAAAAATATTTTAAGTGGATGTAAGAGCGGATACATAGCACAGACAACTACAATACAAATCACAGACAAAGTCGTATTACAGCACAAACAAGATTTTTCTTCTTCACATGCAAAGGCATCCCCCATATATATTAACACCATAAACAATAAGTGTTTGCCACAAAAATAAAAAGGCATACCAATTCGGGTAATATATGGGAGTACATTCTAGGACATTGTACAACATTGTTAGGGTAACATTGTACAACCTCCTACATTTAACAACGAAACCCATGGTGGCAAAAAATGAGCACCAAAAAAATGTACTCCATAGTAAGGTTACATCAATGTTTTACAACCAAACTCATCCTACACTAACATGCAGACCCAAAGTAGTCTAAGTGGATCTTCCTCAAAGTCCAGAGCCTCATTGCAAATGCACATCTTTTCGCTGCCATGTTCTCATATGCACACTCGGGCTGCAATGACAAGTTCTGCATCAATGACTCGGCAAAGGCCATAACCGTCACGTCACAAACACCGGATCTGGACATAAAAGAATTCATACAAACATTACATTTACATTATTTTTGTGTACAAACAGACATTATATCCACATAACATGAATATCCACAAACATTATATACAGACACACATTATATACTGCCTCCGCTCTCTAAGTGCCCTGTGATTGTAATAAAATAAATCATAAGGACACAGACATATGTTAAGTCACACAGACAAGCATTCTGCTAGATACAGACAAAGAACCAAGTCACATGGGCATATGTATGTGTTAGAACTTTTATTGTGAGTCAAGTTTGTCTGTAATATCTTGTTTAAATAAATTAGAATAGATATACCATTTATGGTATTAGTTTTATTATTCATGATGTAATAAATAGGTAGAAGAGGGAATAAGGCCCAAAAAGGCTTTTGGCCCAAACTCCTATGTAACCTAATTAGGTAAACCGTACTGCGCCTATAAATAGATGCGTTCAGTATAGGTATCATATCGATCATTCTGCTGAGTAGCCTTACGCTGTCAAAAGTTCTTCTCGATAAATAGAAAAGGAGTTTTCTCTGTTCTCGATATTGCTTGAATCATTCTGTGAAATCTTCCTATTTTGTTTAATCGATGAATTCCATCTAGCTAATCGTTAGTCTACAGCAAATCTGGGACCAACAAATGGTATCAGAGCCTGCTCGAGTTTGATTAGCCGCGAAGAAGTTTTCGAAGTTTCTCTGTTTTTCATACTTTTCGATATAACTCTGTTTCAATCATTGTAATCTTGTTTCTGATCGATAATCTGTAAAAGTTATACCATTGGATTCGCCAGTCAAAAACGAACCAAGGGCATATCTTATTTTTCGATCTCAGTAAACTTGAATTTTTAGAGTTCTCGATAGTATGATGTCGAAAAGCAGAGTTCTCGACATTCTTACAGGTTTTTCAAGCTGAAAGTGACTCTGGAAAAATCCCGAGATTCAGAAATTTTCACATCATCTGTTTTATCTGCTTAAAACTGAGTTTTCGATTTGCAGGATTTCGATACTGGCTTCTCGACATAAGTTCTCAAACTGAGTTCTCGAACTGCTGTTCTCGATACTCAGTTTTCGACATTATATCTCGATACCTTGTTTTCGATTTGCAGGTTCTCGATATATCTTCTCGATAGTCAGGTTCTCGGAACCAAGTTCTCAAACTCAGGTTTTCGATACTGACTTCTCGAAAGAACTTCTCGAACCCAGCTTCTCGATAACAGGGTTTTCGATATAAAACATCGAAAACTGCTTCTCGAAAGAGCTTCTCGAACTCTGTTCTCGAACCTATTCTTGAAACTTAGGTTTTCGACATTCTGCTCTTGAAAATTTAATTTTATCTGATCAAAACACTCGAACGATCTTTTAAGGCTCAAACAGCAAAGATGGAAGCATTAGCACTTGGAAATGACAGCAGACCACCTATTCTCAGAAAAGGAGAATATCAAATGTGGAAAATTAGATTCTTAAATTTTCTAGAAGGAAAAGACAATTCTTCTGCTATGCTTGAATCACTCACACAAGGACCTGCTGAGATCTACACAGAGATAGATGGCGCTGATGTAAACAACCCTCCTGTTAACTTTGTGAAAAGACTGAAGACAAAATCTGAGTACACTGAAGCAGACAAGCTGAGAGTCAAAGTTGATCTAATGGCAAAGATGTATCTTTTGCAAGCAATTCCCAATGACATATACATTCTGATAGACAGCATGGAGACAACAAAAGAAATGTGGGATGAGGTGAAGAAGTTAATGATTGGAACTGATCTTGGTTTGAAGACGAAGAAAGCGAACATCTTGACTGCCTATGATGCATTTAAAGCCCTACCTGGTGAGGTGCTCCATGAGACGTATAACGGATTCGTACAACTGATCAATGAGATGAGAAAGATCAAAGTTGTCAAATCAAATATGGAAATGAACATACGTTTCTTGTCGAGCCTGCCGCCAGAATGGAGAAGAACTGTTAAGAATCTACGACATCGCCTGGATTTGGATGAACTTGACCTCTGTACTGTTCATGAACATCTGCAGCAGTTTGTAAATGACACTGCTGAGATGGAAGGGAGTTACTCTGCTAATTCCTTGGCACTAATGATGGAAACTCAGCCGAAAAGTTTATCTAAGATCCAGAAGAGGAAGAAGGCAGTAAAGATGGAGTCTGAAGAAGAGGAAAGTGAAGAAGAGGTGGACGTTGAATCTGAGTTGGCTGATCTGCAGAAGAAGATGGCTCTGCTCACCAATCAGTTCAACAAAATGTTTTCAAAGAAAGGAAATTCATCCAACAAACAGCAAACCTCCTCTGCTAACTACAAAACAAAGAACAATGATCAGACATCTTCTGGAAGAGCTGTTGCAGCAGAAGACCCTCCCAAATGCTTTAACTGTGGAAAAGTTGGACATGCCATCAAGGACTGTCGCTTACCAAGAAAGAGGGACTTCAACTATTACAAGCATAAGATGTTGTGGAACAAACAGAAGATGTTCATGGCAAAACAAGAGAATGATAGTGCTGCAACGCTCACCGAAAATGATCCATGGCAGGAGGAGAGTTCTGATGAAGAAGAAGAAGAGAATTTAGTCCTGATGGCTATTGTGGAGAAAGAAGAAGAAAAGGGTGATGCTGCAATCCACGAAGAAAGTCAAAGTTCAAGCTCAAACACCACTGTAAGTACTTCTGAACCTTCTTGCTCCTGCACTTGCAAAGCTCATTCCTCATAAGAAAAGGACAACATTATAAAGGAGTTAAGAGACAGGTTAGATAACAACTACAAAGTGTTAGTTGAGACTCTTGACAAGAGTCACTCCCGGAAATTACAATTAGAGAATGAGAAAGAAAGAGTTCAGAAACAAAATCTAGAAGCAGATAAGCTTACACAGAAAATAGCTGAACTAACTAAGAAGGTTTGTGACACAGAATTAGAACGAAACGTTGCGAAAGCTGAAAATGATTTTCTTCGTGAAAAGAGGTGCATTCTTTACACTAAAATCAAAGAATTAGAAGACTTACTGGCCAAGAG